TCTTGAACAATGAACTTTCAGCAGATCAAGAAGTGGTCAGTCAGCCTGCCAAAGGAGCCTGTTTGTTAGAAAAGACAGGTTATAGGATTTACTAATTTGGGAGAAAAAAAGGTACTTTTTTGGACTTCAGATTACTAATGAAATACATTTCTTTCATTTCTTTACTGTTCTTCCCTACCTCTTGCCCACTGCATGTGATGAACACAAGTGCACAAATACACATGTATCGGGGTGGCGTTGCAGAATTAGTCACTCCCATTGAGTCAGCCGCAAAAAATAATTAGAGATACACTGCAAGCAATATGGAGAAGAGGTCATTTTTTGGTCTCCCAGCTTTGATCATCTCTCCTCAGCACTGCTGTTATACAAAGCTGTTTGCTGTGCTTCCTTGCACAAAGCAGATGCTTGAACAGAGGCTCTGCCCTCCTGCTTGGGTGGCTGTGTGCGGGACAGGCTGAAGTCTGGTGCTTTTTCTTTTGGAATACAAGCACAAGAGATGCAGTCAATTATTTTCCCTAGTATCATTAGCAACCATAACGCATGAGGGAAAATGAACGAGGGAACTATACACAAGGCAATCACTTGAGCAATAGAAGAGCTTGTCTGAGCTCTGCCTTCCCTCTGCCCTCCATCTCGTGCTGCTGGTGCATGTTCTCTGCAGGCACCTTCTCAGCCTATCACTGGGTTTCTCCCCCCGCTTGCTCTCAAACATATGATGATGGTGTGAATTAAAAAAGCCAAGTCACATTATTCCCATGAGACACTGGTCAGGTTCCCAAAATGGTGCTCTCTGTGCGTAGGCCGAGGGAGCTAATTAGCTTATTAACTTCCAAGGTCAGGATCAAGCCGTTAGATGGAAACCTGTTTTGGGAACAGACAGCTTGCAAGGAAAAGACTAAATTGCCCTCTGACATCAGCGTCAGACTGAGGGAGTCATAAGTGATTCAAAAATGTCTTTAAAGACTTTCACACTTTTTCTTCCGGCTTTTTGTAAGCAATTTGGCACCCACTTAGAAGGCTGAGGATTGGATATAGGTGTACAGATGCTCTAAATAGATGATTTGTTTTGCTTCAAAGTGCAGTGATTTAGGTTTGAAAAAAAAGTGATATTTTGTGTGTACGTATTCCTTAGAACACTGGTTAAACCCACATCAATCTTGTCTGTAATTGCTAGCGTAGGGGTTTCAGAAAGCCAGAGCTGTGATTAATGAATAGGAAATGCAGCAGGATAATTGTCCCTGACATCTTAATGCATTTCAGCCCAAGCGTTTTTTGACAGACAGAGCTCCTAAGGTTCAGTAAAAGGGACCTCACAGGTTGCCAACTGGTTATTCATGGCTAGAACCAAATTACACTGACATTTTGCTCCTGGGAGGTACTCAGGGGAAAAAGATCTGTCAAAAGAAACTACCACACAGCAACTTGAAGTTTGTGCCACCAGCTCCTCCTTGGAAGGCCTACAAAGGCTTGAAGAAAAGTCCAAGTTCACAACAGAGTATGAGTAAGATGTCTGGTGTCTTTAGCCCCCTCAACAAGCAGATTTAAATAGGAAAAGTCAGAAAAAGATTATGACACCAGTGACAAGACAGCAGCAGTTGAAAACACTTTCACTGTTTTCCCCAAACCATTCTGAAACTGAAGCAAGTATTCAACAATATTCATTGGGATTCATCTTACATAAAATTTTAAAATAATCTGAATAGACAAAAGCAATTATTTCTTCCCTAAGACTGTACTAATTTTTCCCCACTGATTTTTGACACAATTCAGGTTCTCTAAAAAGTGTGGAGACCTCTGAAGACTTTCCAACTGTTTAAGGCAGTTGGGACCATAGAGGACATCATTAACCTTGAATATGTCTTTGCATTTTGGCATCTATCAGCTGCTGAAATAACTGTCTTCACCTGTTATCCCTCCTCCACATGCCCCAGTACAAGGTCAGTATAGGAACAGCCCGAGTTACAAAGGCATTTTAATCACGGCACCGCTGAAATCTGCTCAGAGCGGGTCTGGGTGACATGACAGCCAATGAACTGGGAATACCAGAGGTCAGATATTTTAGAAAATAATTCCCAGAGGAGGTGAATTCTTCCTGGCTAACATATAAACAAGAATATATTAAATGTTATGCAAACTGTCTCTTGAAAATGCTTCTATTGACAAAGTGGCATCAGGAATTAAATATGCTTATCTGTCTTTCTGGCATATCAGTCAGCGCTTGCAGGAAACACGACAACAGGAGAATTACAATATTTGCAAGTAAAGAAGTCATCGATCATCTGTCACCTTGTACTAACTATAGCCATATGTTGCAAAAAAGGGACCTTTTATTTTGTTTTCAATTGGCCATATTTGGAAAACAGACAATAAATTTTTAAAAAATTACTAAGGAAAGACTGCAACCCACTACTGAGGGGCAGCAGACATGCTTTTGCTGCAACACGTTTAGTATCAACCAGTTTGGGAAAGAACTATCACAGAAACGCTTCCATTTTGCCATCCAATCAAGTACAGCAAGAAGTGAACAGTGCTGGAACGACGCATGGAACCTCTGTGGTCCCATGGAGCGGCCAAACATTTTTAAGACCATTTCAAAAATTTGCCAATGAATACTGGAAAAAGCTTGCTTTGCAGCCACGTGTGGAGCACAGTGGGCTGTTCAGGGAGATGAGCTTAGCCCCTGGAATTTGGTGGTATGTGACTTTCTTCAGGCTCTTTAGACCTGAACCATTTGGGATGTATCTGTTGGACGTAGGTACTCCAGGGGAGACAACACTTCTGCAGGTGCCGTTCTCTCTGGGAACCATCAAAACCAGGCTGGAAGGGACACCGCAGCAGCCAGCCCACCCCCTGCCCTACAGCAGGATTAGCTGTCCCTTAAATTCACTTCGCAAAATCATCTCAGCAAACCAGAGAATACGGCCTCCTGCGCTGCGTATGCCTGGAAAATGCCTGCCTTTCTCTGAATGCCGTTGAATTAGCAGGCTGACAATAAACCACAAAAATCTGGACCCATCCACACTGATGGGCTGAGACAGCCTCCCTCCTCCACACCTGCTCTGACTCACAGCATCTGCAACACACAGTTTGAGCAACAGCCAGGCTCAGTTCAAAGGAGGGAACTTGCTCTTTAGCCCATACCGTGGACTGTTCTCTCTGCATTAATGAACCTCACAAAGCGATTACATGCAGAAGTCCTGCTGCTAGTAAATAATATGGGCAACTGTTATAGACCTTTAATGCCTTCAAATAGAAAACAGAACAGTACTGGGAAGGGTTTTTTCCTCATTGTGTTTTCCTTGCTGCATCTGTTCTTTATGCTGTTCTTAAACTGAAAACATTTTTCAGCCAAAGGTTGTTTTACTGTCCCATTCACTGCCTTGGTCGCTGGGAGCGGTCTCAGCAAGTCACACATTTATATTCCTCTCCATTGCTTGTGGGCTCAATCATCAAAGGAAATGCATAATGCAGGAAGACTGATGATTTGAAATGGGCCTTATGAATCCATCTTGATTAACTGGTCCACGAAGGATCTGCCCTGAACAGAAAGTCCCCCCGAAATGAGCCAGATTCTTATTTATACCCTGAACACCATGAGGAGCCAAGACGTTAAGTGGGCAGTGCAGAAGGCTGTCAGACAGTGTAGGGAAAACCTTGTTTCTTCATGCATGACCCTCCTCAAATCTGTCAGCATCACTTAGTTCCCTGCATGTCTCCTTTCACCCTTGTATTTCACTGCCTCACCTTTCTAAACCTCTGCCTCCTCTTCCCACACTAATGACAGCGAGTGGCATTGCTCCTTCTGGGACATCATCCCAGCTGCGGGAATGCCACAGACAGCAGCAGCGTCCTCTCCGTACCTGGACATGGACAGGCAGCCGGCCACTGCCCCACGCCTTCAAATTCTCTCTGTATTTCACTAAATTGGTATTAATTGCTGGCATTTGCCCTGCAGGGTGCCTCCTGCAGCATAACCGCGCCTTTGAAGCTGCGGTAACAGGCAGCGAGGGCCGAGCTCTGGGCAGGCTGCAGCTGACCGTCTCATAAACCTCCTTGTAGCCCAGCCACAGCAGAGCTTAAAATCTCCATGCCTTTGTTCTGCCTTGGTTTTTCCTGAGAGAAAGGACATTAAAGAGTCTCCTTGAAGACTGCCACATTTCTGAGAAACACAGTTGTTTTGTCTCCTCGCTCTGCATCTTCTGAGCCCTCCACATCTCCCTCCAAGACCAGCAAAGCTCATCTCTGAATGAGGCGATGGAAAATGCCCCTTTCTCTTCAATTGCCTGGGGAAGGCTTGTTGGCTGAGCCTAACACAGTCCCCTCACCCCAAGAATGAGTGTTAGGGTTTTTTAGTCCCTTTCTGCCAGGGATGAAGGGACTGGAGTCTATTTTTTTTCTTTTTTTTTTTTTTTTAATGAGTCGTGCACTGAGATATTCTTTTTTAAGCAAAAAGCATTTAAGCAATTCACCCTGAGCTTGGGAGGGTGCCACAGAAACCTGTGGCACCATCGGGAAACTGGCCCAGCTCTCTTTAGATGCTATCCATG